TTTCATCTGTGGAGTCGACGTTTTCCAGAACATAAGTTGACGTTATCGAAAGTGACTTCATCGGGTGACGGTTTGGAGTAAAGTCAAGAAATGGCGAAAGAAAGGATGAGGGAAATGAGGAAGAGGACTAAACTGTTTTTCTTCCACGGCTTTTACAGCTCTTCAGCCCAGTTTACTAGTAATCTTTAAGGTTTCTTGAAATGAGCGCCTAGCCGCTGGAAGGGTTCAAAAAATTAGTGGTACAATAGTTTACTGGGGCGCCAAACTCCAGGTCCCGGGGCACCCTGAGTCATACGGGTCTTGCGGTTTTCCCAGTTTTCGACCGTTGGAATACTCCGGTAGTCAATGTCAGTAGTGTTATTGAGGTAATGTTCACGACTATGCCAGGCACATCAATCCCGGGCTTCACAGCTTCGCTCCAGGAAAATTCACAGTGTTAATTTCCGAAGTAGAATTAATGCAGTATAAAAGAATCGCACCTTTCCGCAGTGTCATTACTTTTAGCTCAGTTTTCTTACGAGCGGCTTGCTTGAAGGTCTCTAGCGTGTCAACGGCCTCTTCGAGGTATTCACGCGTTTTTGCATATTTATGCAAATGCAAAGACGCATGTTGTGACGTCTTTTGATGTGTGTGTGTGTTTGTATGTATGTGGATGTATGAATGTGCGCGTGTGTGTACGTGTCCTGGCATTTCAGTTTGGCAAGCTTTTATTTTGAAATTTTGTCAGTGGGTTCCCTGAACGAGCCTTATCCTAGAGACGCTGTACTAGCTGTCACGCATCTCTAGTTCCGCATAGGGGTGTGCAAAAAATTTGGCGGGAAAACTGCTAACTCGGAAACCAGGTGAGCTGAGAAGCTGAAATTTTGTCCTTTGCTCACGTGTGATCTAAAGAGCGGGCCTGGTCCTCACGTATGGGGACATAAAACTTTTGACGGAAAATTGCTAATCCGAGAGCCAGGAGAGCTGGGAAGTCGAAGGGCTCGGAAGGCATCCTCTTCTTATCCATACACGATCTAAAGATCTCAAATTCAGTAAATTACTAAAAAGAAGAATTGGCAATTTTTTGGATTGGCGGTTCCTCTCCCCCACCCCCCTTTCCCGCCCATTGCAGTGTGTTCGGCTGTTTACACCAGCCGTTTTTTCCCGCCAGACGTCTCTCTGCGCCTGATGTCTCTCCCTACCGCGTATATCTCTTCCTGCCCTTACCCTGTACCAGCGATGTCCTTTCCCGCCAACTCCTCTCCCCGCCGTGGGATGTATTCTGAACAATGAAAAATGCAGCAATGGTGAGGGACCGTCCAATTGAGGGCCAGATCCTTTTTAAGGGGATTTATGAAAATGCGGGAACACATATATCCCCTTTTCGATATTCACTGTCTGTGAGAAGCGGGGGCACTCAGATATAGCCCAAATGGTACCAGTAGCAAGGCAAAAGCTGACAAATCTGTCGGTGGCTCTCCATTGCTTAGAAGCAAGCTGATGGCATGAATCTACCTACAAACATATGCAGATTTTATCAAAAATTTAGTGTGTTTTCTCAGTGTCCAATCTACTTTTTTTACTAAAATACACTGCATTTACATAACATAAGATGTATTTTTCACATATACCCGACTCCTTGGACTATTTACAGGACAACCAGAAAGTTTTTTTTTATTAAAAAACAGTAGAATAAAAGGGATTGGACTAAGTGCCATATATAAAAGAAGTCATTTTAGGATCCATCCTGTGTTTCATCCCCTAGCTGTAAACACAGATCGAACTGAGAAAACTTTCAAAGTGAGCTAGAGGCCAAAAAACGTTCAAAGTGAACTAGAGAGGGCAAAAAACAACTAGAGACTGAAGAACTGCTATAAAAAAGGTCATGCCAAAAAACACTCAAATCTGGCACATTATCATTCGTCTCCAAAATGCATGGATTCTGGGCAACAGCAGCTCTCCGAAGAATAACAAATGTGCACAAATTTCAGTGAATGATGCAGCAGAAAACGATGAAATTAGAAGCGATAGCAGAAATACACACTAAAATCACAGCACTGATGGCAATATACTCGGCATGCCACGTAGCAACAAAGTTTATCGCACGGAATTTGATAGGCCAAAACGTGAGTCGAATGCCGGCCGCGATGTTCTGCTACATTTTCGTGCCGACCACCGCAATGCTATGCATTCTACACCGTGGCGCAGCCGAGGCATCCGGCAAATTGCCGTTTTTCAGGCGCTCCAAAGTTCTCATCTTCAGCATTATCGAGGTGAATTTCGGCTAAAACATTATCCTCACATGAGCGAGTGGATACACTTATGGATATACTTACTGTGCATATACTTAAGCAAATATCTTCATTTCCACACAAAATTTTCCTTCGATGAACTCAGTGAATCCTGGATCGAACATGCGTTCCCCTCACATCCACAGGAAAAGATGGATTTTCTAGCCATACATCAGTAACAGTTCGAAGATAATCTTATTCAAAATGCTAAAAGTTCAAAGTGCCCAGCATTCTTCTCAGCGGATCCTGCGTGAAATCCATGCAGAACTTCATCGCGACGCATCTTTGCGTCATGGATAACAAGACCGTTTAGGCTCTCAGTGCGATATCCCGGGCTATTGATGCTACTGGGATTCCCC